TTTAATATAGATATCTCAGAGACGGATATTTTTCTGCAGTAAAATGTATCCTATATGTTAACCCAGATAACAGGCTATCATCATACCAAATTTCATGAAAATCCCTCCAGTGGTTATTTATGATGCGATCACAGACAGAAATCCATTCTCTGTATCCATAATAATATCTAGTTCAATAAGGTTTTCCGAAAAATATTTAATGTGCAGATTCGGTTTAGTTACAATTTTATATTGGCCTTCAATATTTAATTTACTTTAAGAGAAGATATTCGAACAATGTCACAACTAACTTTTAATTCAAAATAGCCCAGTAGTTACATACAATTGTTCATACCTTATTTTGTTTCTATAGAAGACGAATTTCCAAAAATCTTGATTTTTTTTGGTTTCTAGGTAAATAAAATTTTATCCATCTAGAATAATCTGTTTCATATTGCCTTTAAGTCACTAAGTATCCACACTTACCACTAAACCACTAAAACCATCCAAACCACTAAAACCATCCTTCATTTGAAAATCTACTTATCCTATTAAAAAAATATAAAGGACATATTCATGAATTAGTATTACTTATAATTGTCGTCTTGTCTTGTCATGTTAGATCGTACTGTTAAGCGTTCAGTTCTTGAAAGCGATAAAATACCGGTTTCTGTTGCATCGTATATGTATATATATGTATATAGTTTATACTAACCCGATGAGGTCGAGTTCTAGACTGAGAATTAATATGCAGGTGTTCTATATTAGATATGAAGATACTAAAAATGTCGTTTTAGATGCAATTTGCATATTTGATTTCATAATAATCAATTTTATTTACAGTATCACCATTTCGTTAGGCATATATGTATGTGGATGGATATTTTGAACCTATAAATAAGATACTTCCTTCATTTAACCTAAGACAAAGGACGTGTTGGCTATCATATATGTACAAATATGTGTACTGACTCTTGACATACAGGTTTTATCTAGTTTGGGAGTCAAATGTTCAATAGGGTTTTTTAACAACCAAAAATTGTGTCAATAAAGAAATTGCATTGTATATAGTGTCTCAATAGAATATGTGCTTGTACTGCTGATACAAAAAAAGAAATTTAAAAGATGTAAAACAGATTTTCATTGCGACTTCGCTCGTGTACGTTGATAAAGAGTATGATATGACGTGTCAATCTAGGTATATCCTTCTCTCTTAGAAATTTCATCTAAATTAACTGAGCCGTCATAGTGTTTGAGTAATAAACATTTGACATTTATAATAATAATCTATACATATAATAAAATTGTAACTAAGCCGAATCTGTACATTAAATATTTTTTGGAAAATCTTATTGAAATAAACATTATTATCGATTCAGAGGCCGAATCTAATGTTTTTAGAATTTTTGCTTGTCTGTCTGTCTGTTACCGCATCACAGAAAAACCACGGGAGGGATTTTGATGAAATTTGGTATGGTGATAGCTAGGTGATGATATATGATGATGATACTTTTTACCGCGGGAAAATGTGTCATTTCTGAGAAAAATACAAAAACTGCATTATAAGAGTATACTAATATGTAAAACCTAAGAATTTGGTTTTTGGTCAACTGAACGCGGGCGGAGCCGCGGGCAATGCTAGTATGATAAATATATTTCAGTATAAAACTAGTACAAAATGTTTCCAAGTCAAGATGATACATCAACGAAAACATAAAAGTTGACAAGTAAGAGACATTAAAATACCGAAATACAAAGCGATAATAGTTATAAAACAAAAAAGTGTAAAGAATTAGTGGGCGAGAAAGCACGCGACGTCGATACATCAGTTCAAAGCTTACTTAATGGAGAGACTCGCGACACCTCCTTTACCTCGAAAATTTGACTTTGATGAAGCAAGCGTTCAAGAGAGCTCTACATTCAAGAGAGCTAAGACAAGATTCCACAATCTTTAAGGAATACAAATTTTAATACTTGTATTGAAATGAACATGTTAGTAATGATACATGTCGATCTATTTATCTTAGTTAAGAATATATTTGCTTGAAAACCTTACAATTAACTTAACTAGGTGACTCTACTATTTATTACATATATTTACCTATTAGTTTAAATGTATACTTAAATTATGTACTAAGGTAGACCTCGCAACTCTTTGGAATGTACATAACATTTGCCTAAAGTTTCATCAAAATCGGATGAATTGTTTAAAAAACATATATTATAAACAAACAAACACAGACACATATTCAATTTTATTTTTATTATATATATAAATTAATCACACATCAATAAATCGACAGACTCGCAACACCTTTACCTAACAAAATTGACTAACGAAGCAAACGGAGCAAAAATAACCGATCGTGTCCAACCCATTGTGCGTGATAAAATTAGAACGCTTCGAAATAAACACGTGGTAGCAATTATCGCAGCAGCGGGTTAAATGAGGCACCGTGAGTCGTTAATGGCTACACTCGGCCACGCTTCCGGCGTCGGCTTCCCAAACGAAAGGGACACTGGACTTCACTTCGCAGATGAATTCAAGGGAAGATGATTTATTGAACTATAATATTAGTAGTATTTGAAAATTTATAACTTATTTAGGTATGATCATATGGTTTTATTCACAATTTCTTGGGTTTTTTTGCGCCGAACCCTAATTCTTTATCTTAAAGAAAAATTAACCTTAGTTAGCTAGCTCCTTATGACATCAGCATTATCTGCCAGTAAAAGTCCCATCAAATTTTGGAGATTAACCGAAACAATCAGACATACAGACAAATATTTTCAAAATTATTTTTTTCTTATAAGTACCGTATATACTTTCTTATGCATTTAGTAAAAAGCTGTTATATTGACATTACAAACAGACAGTTCAATTTCATTCATTTGTTTAGATGTAAACATTGCTGCATAGCTTAGTACTAAATTTCATCGAAATCCATCATGTTTTAACGTAAAGGAGTAGCAACACACACACAAATGAAAACTTTTGCGTTTATAATACGAGTCCTTATTATTTAAGCCATTAAGTGGTATTTTGTTATATTTTTTTTCATTAAAGTGGGAAAGTAAATTTTTATATACACATATGTTAATTATTAATCAGTATTACAATATCACTAAATAAAGTATCTTCTTGTATAATTATTAGCGATATGTAATCATAAACGTCGAACTCATAATAAAGTCAAATTTTCAGAAAACATTGCACACGTTTTAACTTCACATCAATCAGCTTTGCAAATTCAAAGTGCTTTCTGCTTAGTACATTAAAATTTTTATTTTCCAAAGTATTTTCAAGTCACAGCATTCAGAAGCAGCACTAACATTAATCATACCAGTCGACCGACCAACTCCGGTCTCTTTATACATCACGTCTTTGAGGCAAGTTCCTCATTTGTTGAAATGCTTGCTTTTATTAATGTCCGCCCCAATATTGTAAACGTCTCAATCCCTTTGATGACTTCCTGTTTCTTTGTTGGGGGCTCATTGATTCTTAGATTTTTAACATTTCGGTTAGCGTAGATTAATGTGGTCAAACGATCTCGCACGTTCGATGTCGCAATAAATTACTATTAAGTAACACATTGCTTGCCCATTTTACGATGGGCCTCGTAAAATACGGTTATGGCCCCGCAATCTAAAATACAAATTATCTACCTGATCTTTTTCAATTTTTGTCCAAACAGAAACTACTATTATTACGGGCGGATGTGAACATGTGTACAGAAAAAACTTTAATAACTTGGTTGTTTTATGTTTATAGCATATATGTACGTTCTGTATAAAGGTTCCAATTGAACAATTTATTAGTAAAAATGAAAGTAATTGAATACGAAGCAAACTATATCGTTTTATAGGATCGTTTGCGTTTTATTTCGAATATAATATCGTAGGAATTTAATTTGTCTGAATGAATTAAGTGATGAAAAGTTTAATTATATGAAATATAAATTTACTGTCGTCAACAACCAGTAGCAAAAGAAATTTAGTATATTTGTTTGAGATTATGCGATGTAAGTGTTATGTAATGCGACAACGACAGCCTGCAACACACTGCAGGGACAAAAGCTTAATGAACCACTCTATTTTATGGACTAGTCCAATAAACAGAATTGGCGTTTCGGAACGAGCCCACAGCACGAACGGTCGTAATACTAAAGGACACTTGACTTGCAAGCATATACATATAAAATTACGCATACGAAAATACTAAATAATTGCAGCAAATTATGATAACATATAGCTTTAAGCACCAATAAACTGTGCATATTGCGAACGAGACTAAGCTACTTTAAAATAAAACAAATGCAATGAATGTAATAATTTTGAAATAATCTTTATATTTTAATAAACCTCTCAAAGCAAATGAAAAAGTTGTAATGCTAATGAGAGATGTAAAATTGGCAGGTGTTTTATTTTATTGCAGGTCTAACTAACAGAATTTTTTTTTTCGATAATGTAAAAACATAAAGATATGAAGTAACAGCCCTCTCCGATTACAAAATATTAGCCATGTATATGTAAAGAAAATCACTTCATATGCGAGTGCTTTTTTTAAGTTTATTTTCATTACATAAATACTTTTTAATTGAAATTAATAAGATTTAAATAAGATTAATAACATTATATATATATATATATATATATATATATATATATATATATATAGAGAGAGAGAGAGAGAGAGAGAGAGAGAGAGAGAGAGTTTCGATGTGGTATAGAAAAAACATCAAACAACTTGTATTGTCTCCGTAAGTAACTAAAATGGGAAGACGTATTATGTGTCCAACGAGCTCCTCAGCAGGAGACACCTCACCCTTCACCATCTGTCACTAAGTTTCTGTATATCATGGTGTTTCAGTCGTTTAGTGTAACTAATAGTTGCTGGCACGGTAGCTAAGTCGTTTGGGCGATTTTCCAGGCGTTTTTTATATTTATTTTCTGTTAGTTTTAACTCCTTCTTAACAGTTCTTATGCTCAGATCTTGTATGAAAAATAAAAGAAAAACTTACTGTGCGTGATGATGATAGTGCGTCGCGTGATGCATCGCGGTGGCTGGTCCAGGGGGGGACGTAGCGTGAAACGCCGCAAACGCCGAAGGAAACTGTAGTGGTAGGAAACCACTACCAGCAGTCCCAGGACCTCCAACCGACTCCCGATCAGGCATTATTCAAAATCCAATAGCATCATCTAGTCCCTTCACACTAATAATTTTAATAGTTTTATCATAAACATCACTAGAGTCTAAAATATCACAACACTTGTCAAGTTAAGTCAAATCTAAACTTTATTTTCTTTTTCATTGTCATTATATTATTATTGAATATATTTTTGCTCATTGTTGATTGCACTATATTGTTTGTATGTTTGTCTTCTCATTCTTCTTATCTGAAACAAAATAATTATAAATTAGTATTACAATAATTTGTTATTCTGTTATAATTTCATATAAAAGTTAAAGCAAAGGTTGCGTGCCTTTTTAATTTTTCAATTGCCCGTATAATGTCTTTATTTCACGAATGACTGCACCCAGGTTATAATCAGTTCTGATCGTAACAAGTGTTAAATATGAGCAGTATAATAATACCCACAGTTTTTTATAAAAGAGTTTCCATTCTTAACTTTTTTTCTTATATTGATTATTTAATTATTATAATTTGATGACAAATAGGTGACATGACTTAATAAGTCCATAAATACAAATGTAAAAAAATATATTTTTTAATAAAATTTTTTTATGAAGTTTACATTTTTCTGACTGAAACGGAGTCATTTGCTTCTTAAAATCAAGATTGCATCGGAATGAGTGTTAATTAGTGTTAAATCTTAACAAATCGATGGAATGGCAAAAAAATCGAGCGAGTAATTGAGCAAACAACATCAGAATTGTCATTATCACATATAAAGAAACTGACTCCAGATCAGGTGGTTTTAAGATTTCTTGGCAACAATAAACCAAATAAAGAACTTAATTTCCATGCCACTGCTGTTATTAAAATATACAATTACCCAGGCACAAACGAGACATAAATCTTTCCTTCATGCATCAATTTTTTGCTTCCTTCACACGAAAGGTATGAGCGCGAGCTTACCTCTATGTATGTATTTCAAACATGTTATTCACATTCCACTTCTCAAAACAAATAAACGAAAAAGCATAATTTGTATGAAAGTTACTCCGAAAGCCGTATATGGCACAATTATGAAATCATATCAAGATTACCAAGTAGCGGGCTTCTGTAGATGGTGAACATTTAAATTCGACAAGTTTTTGTAAAGTCGACTCTGCTTTTCTCTCTTAACTTATAGCACCATTTCGAGAAAAGCTATCAAAGTGAAATTCCTGATGTAATTAATGAAGATGTGATTGTTTCAAACATTGTCCCCTGAATAAGGCTTTGCATAGTTCTGTAACCAATTTTGAAATGTATCGATAAGTATGTTTCGATTAAAGAGATTTACGATGTTTTGAAGAACGAAATTGCCAGGCTCGAATATCGATTTTTATCGACCATTCAAAAATTGTATTCAATGGTCTTAAATATAGTTATTTTTTTAATCAGAAACGGTGTCAAGTGGTTTAAAGTAAACATGCTCAAGTTTACATATCCTTTCGAAATGTTTTGCCATTTTAAAGTTTACAATTTAACAAGTATCTGTCTACACATCTGTTCTATCTTAGTATAATCTTGCATTGCGTTACTTGTTACTTTACCTAATTTGAATATTTCTTCGCTAAAATTTGAATATTTCAATTATTTTAACCAATTTGCTTATTAATGTCCAAATGAAACAACTTGAGCAGGTGCTGCCATTACCGCGATCCTCAACGAACGGACTTACACGTCCAATGAAATTTTATATACACAAAAAACTATTTACATTATAAAATGAGCACATCACTACCCCTTAAATTAGTGGCGTAATACTTGCGCGCATGCCGTCTCTCGATATGGTCCTTAATTACGATTTAATTGTTTTTTAGCCGCCGGATTGTTCCGAGTGTTCCAAGAAACTTTTGGTCTTATGGTGTTACGGCTTGCAACTCGATTCGTAGTCTAAATTCCATCGATTTTACTTATCGACTTTTTGCAGTTCGATAAACTCAGTATAACAGTACGTAAAATGTAATTAGTGGAAGACATTCGTATTATTTAGGTTAAACATTTAATTATGATAAATACATTATAACAAGTACAGTAAAAGATTATTAACTTTTTTTAAACAATTATTGCTTTGGTGCTAATTGACCTGTTTTATCTTTCAATTATTACGTTATATTTTCAATAATAACTACATATATACTTACGATTTAATTTTACATTTCCAGTTTAATATATGAAAAGAAGAAAGTAAATAAAACGGTTAAAGAAAGATGTCTTATAATAAATATAGATTTAATCGAAGATTATAATATAATTTTTCAACATTAAGTATAGATTTCTCAGAGATGAGATATTTTCCCGCAGCGACACGATAACCGACTATCATTATACCAAATTTCATCCAAATCTGTGTAGTGCTTTTTTGTGAAGCATTCCCAGACAGACAGATAGACAGACGGACCAAAATTCTGAATTCTTGAATTCGGCTTCTGCATCGGTAATAATGACTATTTCAATAAGATTTTCCACAAAATATTTTATGTACAGATTCAACTCAGAATTTTATTATATGTATAGATTATTTGGCTCTTCACAACTAGAATTAACGTTCAGTAAAAAAAAAGAAATTTAATGTTGAATAAATGCTGGATGAAATGAAATAAATTCGTTTTACTTATAATAATATCTTTCATTTATTTTGCATGCTATTATTATTTTTATTATAACGTACTAACTCAAGACTTAATAAAGGATGTTTCATACATACTCGTAAGTCTTCTACTAACCACAAAACAAATTTGGTCGACTCTAAAATTATCTTTGCTGCTTATAAGTTTCAAATAATATAAATGCAATGCCTACTTTTTAACTAAAAAGGTTTTAATTTAGTTTATTAATTTTATTTTACCGACGAATCTCCTTCGTGTCTTCTCCATTCTACGTGGCATTAGCAAAATGATCTGTGCTCAACTGGCAGGTTTTGAAGCCATTAACAAGAGATTTGAACTGAATTGAACGTTTCTTTTAAATAAATTTAAAGTTATTATACATCCACATTATGAAAAATCGACCAAAATCGCGTAAAATCCGCTATTACTTATTGTATTCAGCCCTTTTTTAACGTCCCACTGTTGGGCATTGGCCTCCCTTCAATACGAAGGGTATCAGGCCATAGTCCACCACGCTGGCCAAGTTCCGGTTGGCGGACATCACATGACTTTCGAAAACTTGTTAGGTTCTCTCAGACATGTCGGTTTCCTCATGATGCTTTCCGTCACCGTAAGACAAGTAGTAATCATGTTGGAAATTATTCGCACATGAAATTATCAAAAATGCGAGACCCGAGATTAGAACCCGTATCACTTAGTCTCCCAAACGAGCACGTTACCACTGGGCTGCCACTGCCTATTATTTATTGAAGTCGGTCAAAATTGATTTCAACAAGTAATTTGTCGATAATAAACTTATTTATCTATCTAGCTGTCTGTTTAACATCAAAGTCGATCCAAATTGATATTCAAAAACAAATCAGTGCCAATTACGCGTCTGTCCATAAGAGAATATTGGAATAATCAGCCATTAAACGCCTCGAGCACGGAGTTATTCTCCAACACTACATATAAGTCAGTAGACAATAGTGACACTTATACCCTCTTCATTAGATATGGCCTCTACTTGCGACGGTGTGTTCTGAACACGAATTGTCTTATTAAATACTCGTATATTAATCGTATACAGATATGTGACTGAGACACGTGTCTATTTGCAATACTTATTTGAATTATTGTTCGCAATTTTTTTTTTAAAGTTTAAAGCTAAAGTTTAAAGCTCTGAAATCTTTTCAAACGTTATCGTACTCGTATACTAACGATTCATATGTAACGTGCGTTAATAATGGATTGTGTTAGGAAATATGAATTAGAAGGTTGTCTGGAAGTCGTTAATTAGCGATAAGACCGTCTGTTGTGCACTTTTTCACTTCTTCATACTTTGTTTTTCTATCTTCATGTTATTACTGTGGTGTACAATAAAGTATATATAAATAAATAATGATCTCAATATGTCATTTATGTTAATCTTACCAAAGCAAAACGTAGAAAATATTTAACCTCAGCTGGGATCGAACTTGCTATATAGGTACAGACACTGAAGTTACCACTAATATTAGCTTGCACAACAAAAGAACTGGAAATCTAATTACTAAAACAAGGTGAACCAATACTAATCTAACAATAGAGGCAACAACCTGGATAACTTGAATAAATCATAGGGTGGTTGCGACCGCGGTTAATCCTTTCAACTGGACTTAACATTCGCGGTGTAGTGTGTGGACATCCATAAATTACAATGAGTTTCAACGCTAGTTGCCTCGTATAAGGTTCTTGGGCCAAAAGAAGCGCATACGTGCGCGTCCGGCTGTTTAAAGCTTGTGAACTAGTTTTAGAGATTCTTTTGATATATTTATGATCTATACAGATAAATCTATACAAATAAATTCAAGTGTTTGTATTGCCAAAATAACAGCTTTTTACTAAATGCGTATGAAGGTATATATGGTACTTTTATTATGATAACAACAATTTTTAATTTTATTGGCTGTCTGTTTGTTCCGGCTAATCTCCAAAACAAAAAAAAAATAATTAAAACCCATGTAATGACGACCGTAATCCACATAGCTAATGTCGCTAGGTTAGATAGTAGTTAGGTAACATAGTAGACGTCGCTAGTGTATATTATAAAGGAAAGAGGAAATTGTCGGTAGATATCTCTAGAATATGGAGAGACCTTAATATGGAAGCTGAAAAAAAGGATCTTTAGGCGTATTAATTGACGACGATCTAAAATGTATAGGAATATTAAAATGCAGAACTCGACAGTAGTATGGAAGTATAAATGACAAAAATTAAATTTTCATCAAATTCCATTTAAATCAAATCGTTGCAAAACTAATATAAGAACTCTTAAAAATGGTATATTGACTAAATAAACTTTTGATATTTATGGTTACATGTATGAGGTTGTTTACAGACTTACTTAATCCGTTTTTAGTGGTCTACGATCC